GGGGGGCAATGTGGAGGTTTGGACCGTGATCCGGTGGTGACAACTTAAGTGTTAGAGTCAACTGGACTACAAAATCCTTTGGTAATGTAATGTAAATCAATTTTTTTATATATTTTATTGGGAGCAGCTGCCCCAACTTGCTCTACCTAAATCCGCCCAGCCCATGTATATAATACATTATTGGGATCATGAGTCTTGGGAGTTTTTTCTTCTTCGTCTAGTAAAACGAATTTTTGATTAAGAAACTACATCCGTACTTCTCCTTACAACGTAAACCAAATTAGATATATTATGTAAGACACGTAAGTAAGAAAATTAATCTTTCCTTTAAATATAGTTCTTGGAAAGTTGGAACATACTCAAAAGACTAAAAACTCCAAAGAGGGAATAAAAACTAGGTCTGGACATAAATATTCGTTACTCGGTTTGTATCCGCTATTTGTCTCGGTTTGAAAAAGTAAGTATTTGTCCCGGTCAAGTCAATTAACAAGTCAACATATTACATTACTTGCAAGTCCGGATCAAGTTAGTACAAAAATTTTACTACTTGACCCGTTAATCGGCTTAATACTTGTTTATATTACTTGGCTTGATACTCGTTAATAATATTCATAAAAATCTGTTTCATACTCATTTATATTACTTGATACTTATTGGTTAAAGGTCTTTGACATTTGACGGTATAACCAAACCAAGTCATCTTCAAGTATATATGTGTATATGTTATGATCATTCTTACAATTGTTATGTTGGTTTAATGGTTTTATAGAAAAAAAAAGAATCAAGAAGAAAAATAGTATGATGTGGAGTATTGAACCAAAAACTTGTTTATCTTTTGTAACTTTAATGTTTTGTAGTTTTAAGATATTTGAACTTTGAATGTTTTGTAATTTGCATAAAGATTAGTTTGATATTTAAATAGTTTCAAATAGCAAGTATATAATTAGTAAATAACAAACCGAGTTAAGTTATTTGTAAATAATAGGATTTTGGACAAGTACTTGATATAACAAGTAATTACTTT